GGGGGTGAGGAGAGGCCGGTGGCTTGGTGGCACGGCAGGAAGCCAGGCTGGAGAGAGCCTGGCTGCCTTACCCGGCTGGCCCAGCATGTTGGCAAAGCGGACGTCAGTGCTGACTGCTGGGTACAGCTCCATCCAGGTAGACATGGAGTGCAGCTGCCCTGTCTCGTGCAGCTCGTCCAGGAAGGTCTGAGCAGGGAGAGGCCAGTTACAGGGATGGCGAGATGGGAGGGAGGCAGAAGTAAGGACTGGGAATAGCAGAGGGAGAGGTGGGAACCATGCAGATTGAGGAAAGGCAGGCAAGGGGGCAGAGATAAAGAGATACAGATGGGGAGGTAGAGAGCTATATGGAAGGAGAGGGACAGAACGAAAAGGAGACAAGATGGCTGGGGAGACAAAGAGGCAGAAACCTGCCTGCAGCACAACTTCTCTACGACTTGGCTCCATTGACGTGTTACAGTTAAGCAATGCACCCCACCCCCACCACTGCCATCTCCATGCTGGCCTTATGGATAAGCGCTGCCTGTCTGGCTTCCCGCCCATGGGAAAGCACAGTCCACTGCCATGGGCCTCGCGTGGGCCCGCAGGGTGCCCTCTGCTGGCAGTTTCTGGGCAGTGTATACGTCCAGCCTCCCTAGAAGGGCACTGTCCAGAGCTGAGGGACACGGTAGGAGCACAACTGCAGGCAGAGAGAGGGGCTTGCACAGGGTAGACAGAGAGAGAACAGAAGAAGCAGAGCATGGGTGAAGAGGTCAAGGTCTGGGGCAGAGCCGAGCTCTGATCCAGGAACTGAAGATACCTGGAAGGCCTCCCGGTTCTTGCGCTGCTGGCGCCGCTCACGAAGCCGGGCTCGCTCTCGCTCCTCCTCCTCCTCCCGCTCCAAAGCTCGGATGTGTTCCTCAAAGCAGATCAGTGCATCTTCCTTGTCCATGTCTAAAGGCAGAGAGGAGGCTCAGCAAGCACAGTACCAGCAGACACCCTCTCAGACCCCAGCACCCCAGTGTTGCAAGGATGCTGCCCTTGTAGGTGCTAGAGACTTGCTACAAGGGTGGTTGGGAGAGGTGAAGAAGAGGAGTCTTCGGGAGCAGTCACTGGAGTGGTGGTTCTTTTTTTCTTATTCTTTGATAATTTTATTCATTATCATTATTTATGTTCTTTTTAAAAAAGATTTATTTATTTTTGGAGAGGTTTTTGCTATAGGGCATGTGCACTTGCCAGAAAGACAGAGAGAGACAGAAAGCAAGAACTCATCCCCTGGGGGGACAGCCACTCTGCAATTCCTTCTCTTCTGTTCTCCTCTTGGGATCTTGGGCACACACGCACACACACCGGGCATGAGTTTAAGCTACCAGGTCCGGGACTCGAACTGCAGTCGACTATGTGGGAGTCCAGTGACACAGCCATTATGCCCACTGCTGGTCCCAATTTATTGTTATTTTTAATTTGACCAGAGAGAGACAGAGAAAGAGAGAAAGGGAAAGTGAGAAACCAAGCCGCCAGGTTCGAGACTCAAACAATGGTCAACCATGTGGGAGTCCACCGCGTTAACCATCATGCCATCTGCCTGCCCCCATTATCATTATTTCTTAACTTGACCAGAGAGAGAGAGAAGGAAAGTGAGAAAGCAAGCCACCAGGTCTGGGACTCAAACTGCTGTCAACCATGTGGGAGTCCAACACCTTAACCACTCCGCCACCTGCTGGCCCTGGAGTGGTGGTTCTTCTGTGTGTGGGGAGGGGGCCCATTAATTACATAAGAAAAACTTAGCACAAATTCAGCTCTTGTGTATTTTGTTACTGGAAGTCATCGCATGAAACCATTTCTCTCAGGATCTGAGGTTTCACATTACATGGAACTGGCTCTGATGCAACCTCAAAAAGTGAATTTCTAAAATCGTCAGTGATCATAGGCCAACAGCTTACTGGAACATTGTGCCCAGAGAGGGCCCACAGTGCTATGATGACTTACAATTATGTGCACATGAGCTATAAAGGTCACCGTCATCTCTAGGACCTCTGATTCCTCTCTCTGAGCTCTTCCTCCAAGGACACATGTCCAGGTCAACAGTGGACCCCGGAATGGAGGGGATCCTTTAGAGCCGGAGGTCTGGACTGTGATCCTAAGAGGAACCTGGGGTGGGGGCTGTGCTGAAGCACTGCGGGATCTCCAGAGGCTAAAGAGATACAGGAGCTAAGTGAGTGCTGGATTCTCCCAGGATGTCCAGGTGGGCAGGTGATACAGAGAGTGGTGGGACCCAGGCTCTGGGATCCCAGATCATGGGAAAGGGGAGGGGACCAGGGGAGTGGAAAGCTGGGCTTACTTTGCAGCTGATGGTCCTGAGCAAAGTTGGGGTTATCCATGAGGTATTGCTGGGCCTGGGACCATGTGGTTTGGAAGTTGACACTACTCATCCCATCCAGGATGCTCTTCAGGGCCTGGATGTTGCGGCGTCGGAGTTGCTTGGCCTGCTCCTAGGGAGCCACAGGGTCAGAGTGAGGAAGGCTGCCAGAGCCACCTGGAGGAGGATCTGGGGAAAAGAACGTGACTAGGGAACGCTAGCGAGGAGGGCCACACTCAAGATTTTCATGTCCTGAGAGGGGAAGCAGCACAGGTTACAGGCCCAACCTCACAGCCCCCTCTCTGCCCTCCCGCCCCAGGGCTGCAGGCCCATGGCAGAGCTGGGGGGGGGGGGGGGGGGGAACGGGGCCGC